CCTTCCCCTTCCCCTTCCCCTTCCCCTTCCCCTTCCTATTCTGGCCTGGAAATGGGCTTTGTATATAACACCTTTTTCCTCCTCCTTTTTAAACCCACATGCTGAATAATTTTTAAGTTAGGTACTATTCATTATGTCCAAAAGAGGAAAAAATTGCCCCAAAGAGTATTGCTATTCCAGAGGTCCATTGGTCTTTTCTCTGACTCTGGTTGACCTCCTCCTTCTCACTTTAGTTCCCAGGGGTGTAGACTAAGAGGAGTCCGATATTCTCATCCTGCTATAATAACTAGACAGCAAATAGGCAGGACTGAAAAAGAGGTGGAAATGGTTAAGCTGATGAGCTTCTTTTTGGTTGAGGTTGAGAGGGTAGATAGTAGGCAGAAGTCCAAGTCTTAAATCTGTGTTAGTTTTGTTTATCTGTGGGCATATACTCACAAATGCCCTCCCCTCATCCCATCTCTACTAAAGAAAAATGTGTCTATTTTCCCTCTCTACATACCCCTCACACTAAAAGCACACATTTCATGTCTCAATTTCACCTATATAAACGCATTTTAGATTATAACCTGCCAAAACTGTTGCTCAGAGGAATTACTTTACCATGGTATCCTATCTACAGACACCTATAGAAAAAAAGAAAATCTTATCCCAAAGTTTGCTTCTGTGCTTTGGTTTAGACAGAAGAGGATTGCTAATGTTCAGGTTTTAGTGATTTAGGAGAGGATATTCTCCCTCCAGAAGGGTTACTTTTATCCTACTGTATGATCTTATCTGAAAATGCAATGTTATCTCTCAGCTCCTAGCAAATATTGATACCTAGCATTAAGCACATCTGAGCCTATTGAAATGTATTTCAAGACACTGTGACCTTCTTAAAGGTAGTTCCATTAGTATACAGTCACCCCTTGTTGGTGTAAGAGGGACCTCTGCCCTAGACCTCACTGTTTAGAGAATCCTGTTCTGGTCATTCTCCAGCTGTACTCTCACAGAGTAAGGGACCCACAGGGCAAAGAACATACCTCCCAGATCCCTCTGGTTTGTGCTCTGGTACCTGATCTCAATTTTCTTTCCACATGGTCCCAGTTATATTTCCAAGTTCTGCATGGATCTTTTCCTTGGGTCCATTCTTTAAAGGGATAATCATATCTCTGATACGTGTACCTCTAGATCTTAGGGGTAGCGAGATGGCAGCAGTTTGTGAAGGTGTGTGACCATGGCCTACATAAACCAGCCAGGGTGTCCACACTCCTGCAAGTGAGGCTCCTTAAAGTTCCGGGTAGAGCTGGGGGTTGGAAGATCAGGGAGGTTTGCTGAGGGTCAGGGATAGGCTCTCTTCATGTTACTCCTTTCCAGTGCAGAATCCTGAGCAATCTTGAGAATTCTAAATTTGAATCTGCTTTCCTGGTCACTTTGAAGGTATATTTGTTAAGGTAGGAGGACAGAACATGTTTTATTTAACAATGTTTTAGCTTAATGTAAAATTTAATAGTCATATGCTATATATCCATTTGTGTTCTTAGTCCAGATCCCACAAATCTTAGGGGTAGGCTTGCTCTTAAATGCTTCTAATTATTTCCCCCGGTACTTACTATAATGGTTGACATGATCATCTCAATAAGTGAATGAAATTGGGAGCTCAGAATGCCCCACCATGGCAGAATATGAGATCAGAAGTATAGACAGCCTATATTTATTTAGCCTTACGGTGTTATAGTTGTGGGGAAATCTGTTCAACATTGAAGCTCACAACGACAGGAGTGGAATTCATAAAGAAGCAAAAATTAAATCCAGGCTTTCTAATTTGTTACAGGATTTTGTTTATCATTTGTGGACTCCGTGTTTCTTATGTTACTTTCATGCTACATCTCATGATAGCTTGCTGATGTTTAACTCTTCTACTCTTCATGTTCATGTAATGTTGAAATTTTCCTGAGATGCTAGAGTTTTTGGTCCCCACTTGTTTGACGATATCTAAATGGTTATTTCCTTTTAACAGGAAGCAGCACTCTCATTTATTGAGTATTCACTTTATGCCAGGAATTACATGAAGTGGTTAGCACACAGTATCACATTTAGTCCCTACAGTAATTTTACAAGGTAGGGGGATTTACACTAGTATTACTACAGATGTGTACAATATCAGAAGTGCGTAAGTGATTTGCCTAAGTCAAGACACAGAGTGGGGGAATAGGAATACATTTTTTTGAAAAAATGACAAGACCCTTATTTACTTTGAAAGCTAATGTCCAACAAATGTTGATGGAAATCTGCTTTGGGATGAGATATAAATAATACATTTTTACTATTTTTTCCTGCCTTTATCGTGTGTAGGAATTCAACCTTATTGATAGAAGAGAACTTGCACCACTCCAAGAACTGATTGAAAAACTCACCTCAAAGGACAGATAAAAGGACGCAGAGCGGTGCAAATTGTTCCTCAAATGAAGTGTGTGGAGTTTATTTGGATTTGGTTGTGTTTTATTTTTATCTCGGTCATTTTTGTCATAGGTTTAGGGGGCTTGTTTGGGTTTCTTTTTCTTTATTCTGAGTAAGTGAAACCATATTCAATTGCTAGAGGAAGCCAAGAACCATTCTCTGTAAATTTGATAGGGGTAAGTTTTGTCTTAGTGGCATATGGTGGGTTTTTTTGTTTGTTTTTTTTACTTGGTTTGCTTACTTGCAGAATTTTTGATAATACTGTGTGCTGAAAGAAAACGCTTGCTGATTGGACTGATGACAGTTGGGGGTTCTGTGTTGTGTAAATTGTGGCCAATTTCTGAAGTCCCCAAAAGACTTATGTTTTTAAGTGCCTTGGTAGGCTCACTTCTGAGGTGCAAAGCACAGACATAGAACTGAACAGGGCTTGAACAATATTAGGATTACTACCCAGGGCACTTACTGATGCATGTTTTAAAATGTCTATGATAAAAGCCATAGTTTACCAAAATTGGTGATCTCCAGCTTTTACTACATTAAAGAAACACAATTTGTAAAGGTGTGCATGTAGAACGTACAAAATTAGTATTTATTAATTATTTTTGATATTGATGGTAATTCTGTTCAACAAATGTTTAAAGTTCTACAAGCAGGTCTTTCTTCCATCTCTTGATATCTGTGATATTGAAACTAAAGGATGTTGAAGTGTAATACCTATTGCATTTTAGCTTCTTTCTACATGTTAACTGCACTCTAGGTGTAAAAATTCAGGTTTTACATAGGTTTGCCATCTTCAGAGGTGATGCTGAACTGTGAGGTTTCTTAGCAATTGCCAAATGAGCCATAAGTCTAGAGAATTCCCTTCTACTTTGAAGAGGAGGGGATGGATAAGAGTGTGTGTTTGGTTGGGAGGGTTTGTTTGTATGGGGAGCTATAGATGGAATTGTATGATGAGTCAAGTTCAGAAAGTCTTGTCTTAAAATCCTTGAGTAGAGTGGCATGAAGTTTTTAACCAATTTCTTGTAAACAAAGTCTTAGAGACTTCCTTTTAGGAATCAACTTCCATGAGAAGTTAAACATAAATTATTAATTTTAGGTGTAGACATTAAACATGGAATTTAAGAACTGTTTGGGGGAAATTGATCACTCTCCAGCATTTCCATTCAGTGAATGGAGCTGGTGTTTGCCTGTCATTTTAAAATGATACAGTACCCTTCTCTGCTTATGATAGGCCCAATTTGAAGCATTCTGACTTCTGATTTTTCTACTGTGAAAGGAAATCTTTTTCTTTGCAGTGATATCAAACAATGTAAGTGCTAATTTAGTAGTTATTAACTTTTACATTTTATTTGTCATGGCTTTCTAGTGAATTATTCCCATAAGTAAAAAGTTCAGAAAGTTAATTTTTAAAATAATTTTAACATTTTTCACTTCAATTTTAGTCTTGAGAAGTATCTTTTTCAGACTTCCTTTTGATTTTGTCATTTCTGGTAAGATCTGTTTCCTTCAGTTACAAATATATATTCTTCCTTTAGTGTGAAATATATACCTTTTTTCCTTGTGGAATAGATATCTTGCTTTGAAATTATATAGACTAAAAATGGTCAGTAGGCGAGAATCTAAAATTAAATAAATCAGTCTGTCTTTGCCATTAACAGGGAGAGCAGTGATATAATTTAATGCCATTACAGTTATGATGACTAGGAACTGCCTTTTTCTCCATTTCATTTCTAACAATCATTCTCCAAGTACCAACAGTAGAAGTAATGGGAGAGCCTGGCAAGTATGTTGGATGTTCATTGGTAATGGTTATTGATAAACTGCAGTGAGAAGTAACTGATGTCCTTAAAACAAATATTTTATTACCTAGGTAGGTAATATCAATCCCTGTAGGTTGATTCAGAAATAAAATTTGGCATCAAGTGACATGGGGTCCTATTTATTGATGAAAATGAAGCATGATTATTCCAGTAGTCTTCCATACTGCGTTGGACTTTGTATCATCCTAGTAACAAAGGGGTTGCAAATAGCCAAGTGTAGAAAATACTGAAAAATCGTTCTTGCTCTTTCAAGCCTTACACAGTAGTACACTGTAAAAATGGAAGGATGTTTCTATAAAATAATGTTTAGTACTAGGCCCTACTTTCCTACCGTGTGTAGATAGGAGTTTGTTGTCACTGTGTCAGAATCTCAGGTGCCTGCTTCTGAGTATTCCTTTAAACAGAGGTATTATTAGGAAGTAAGGAGGTAATGTACGCATGGATATGGTAACAAAGTAGAGAAGTTCTCCCAGGGAGAGGCCTGGCATTGTACATGGGGTTACATGGCCACAGGTAAGGAAACACCCACCAGAGCATGTGAGAAATAACCAGTTTAACAAAACTTGCTTTGATTTGATTCGTTTCCATGAGCGTTAATAAGATGCCCTTTATAAAATAAGGATCAAATCCTGGTTTTGTAGCACTTTGCTTACGAATGTGTATTGGATTCTTCCCAGATCTCTTAATTTAGTTTATAAATAACCAAGATAATGATTTCCCCCCTGCTCTTTATACAGAGATTTAAAGCAGAAGTTGGTTTTCTCATCCACTAATTAAAGCATAAAATATCAAGTAATAAGTTAATATAGTATTATTGTCACAATGCTTTGGTTAAGTGTTGAAATGAAGCAAGTTTTAGGAGTTATTTTAAATGATGGAAAATTAACAATCCAAGAGTGAAAATCTTTCGGTAAGCAGTAGATGGTGCTACTGGCTCTCATTTGCTGACTTGATTGTTCTGTTTCCCATAAAAACCATGCCATTAGACTTCATTAAAAGAGTAAGCATGTGTTAGTTGGCTGGTAGAGGCTTTGGAGGTCAGTTTACTTTACATCGAAAGATTTTACATTGCTCTTTCTGCTTGTGTTATTTGTAAATGGTAAAGGGTGAGCATAAAATGTATTGGCTGGGAGAAGACAGGTTTAGTGTATAATATATCTCAGATTAAGTTACTGCCTGGCTTATCAGGAAAGATAAAACACTACAATCTCTTATCTTCAGGAAATACAGATGATGTGGATATTTATATTTTACATGTAATCACCAGACTCCATTTTATGTATTAGCATTTTCCTTGCTTATGGGAAAATAGCAAAATGACATTTCTTTTATACCTTTGTGTACACCCTCTCTGAGAGAGGTTTTGATAACCACTGAAATGGTGAAATGTGAGATACAATTATTAAGTTAGTTGTAGGACTTTCTTTTCAAATAAGTATGTCATACCTTAAACATCCAAATGAGAGTTGATCTTCAGAGTGGTTCCTGTGGGAGCATTATTCTTTCTAGCTATGCTTTGAGGGTGTAATGTTTTTGGAGCATTTTCAGAGATGCCTTGAGAATTGGTTTATGACTATGCAAGAAAATCTATTTCATCATTTTAGTTGCACCGAAGACTTTTTTGGCAGCTTAGTAAGACCTAGCTCATTCACCAAACTTAACTCTACTTTGCTTTTTTCTTAGAACTAAACCATTAGAGAAGTTCAAAAAACTGCCATAGGCTCTGAATTTGCAGAAGAGAATGTTTTCAGCATTGGTAGCACCATTTAATAAAGGAATAGTTTCCTGATGTCTCTACTTTGAAGTACACAGTGTCATTTGGATGTATAGGTTTTATTTAATTTTTACAAATTTAGTTTAATTACCTTATTGTTAAATATAATAATTAAAAAATCAAGGTCTGTCTCTTGTTTTCTACTTTCGTTCCTTTCCCTGATAGCTTCTGAGTTTTATCTCAACTACTATAAGATAATTTTGATTGAAGGGACAGTATGAAAAAATGGATCCAATATTTAATTTAGAAGTAGCTTAAGATAACAATAGCCTTTACCTTTGTCCTTTTTTTTTAAACATTATTTTCACTCAAATGAAAAGACTGCAGATCATTGTACAAAGAAATTGGAATAAATTTTATATAATAATTATGCTGAATGTTAAACCTGTGTATCACAGATAAAATATTTAAAATTGTATAATCATTTCATATATCATTTATAACTTTAAAATTTTTGAATGTCTTTTTAAAAGATATGGGACCATAAGTATATTTGTAACTTGAAAATGTGACTGCATACCAAGGGGAAAAGTTATTTTGAAACTTTTCTGAAATATTAAAGAATATACCAATTTTTAGACATGCTATTCTAGATCCACTCCTAAAATAATTTAAATAGTAGAGTTTTGTCATAATGTTAAGATTCACCCACAGCAATTACTGTTTTTCAGTTTAATGGTGTATGATATTACTAGAGGTAAAGATACCTTAAGATTTATTGGAAAAATTTAATTTTAAGGTATAGTAACAGTTCTGACTACAAACAATTTAAACTTTTAAGATGTTCCTAACAAGTTAATCATAGAGAATAATTTATTGTAAAGGTATAATACTATGTTCCATGTCTGCCACTTATAGCTGAACAAAACCTAAATTTTGACAAAAGACAGGAAATGCATATTAAAATATTGAATAATCTCAGTTTTGCAAGTATGATGCCAGTTCTTTTTCTGTGTGTAATGCTATACAATAGAGCATTTTGGGTTACAGTTCTCAAAGATAGATAATGAAAGCACTGGCCTGTTTTTAGCTCTGTTGGCTTGTCATCTCCTTCTCCTCAAATTACTTCCTTACGCTGTTGACTTCCCACCTCTCAGCCTCCATTGCACTAGGAGAACAAAACAGATGGGTTGATTGTGCAGGTCCTTGTTGTTAGTGGTTCTGAAGCACTTTCTGTAATCCACTGACAGGAGTGTTGGCAGGTGCAACTTACATAAGCATTTTTGGTTTGTTCTGGTTGACAGCTTTCTTGAAGTTATGTCACTGAAGCTGAGATTATTAGTAATTTAAAATTTTTGTTAATATTTAATTTTTCTTCTGTGTATTAAATTTTTATGTGTTGGTGTTTCTTACAGATTTGTACATATTTTCATTTTTTGAGATAATAGATTAGTGCATTTCCATATTAAGAACACATTTCTTCTTAAATTGTTCTGCAGAAATAACTATTTTTAGGGGAAATAGTTTTTTACAGTCACTAAATTGTATGTGTTATTTTTGTACATGCATAACTAAGGTGGTAAGGGCCCTAATCCTGTAGGGAATGCTTAACTTTTGTTCTGTTTGAATTTTTCCATACGTTATTACTTAAAATTATCAAGGAACAGTGTCATGAAATCTAGGTTGAGAGAGAGTACAATAAACATGACAACTCTTAAAGTTTGAGTAGAGATAATTTCTGATGACAAAAGCATAATCCTGCCAGTGCCATATAATGGAAGCCTATTCACATTGTGTAATCGCAGAGAATGTGCAAGACAACAGATCCTGCTCTCATAGAAACACACAATTCTCTTTATTTTTAAGTAGTTGGATGGGGGAAAATGGTCTAAAATATGAAAGGAAACATGAATGCTATATTGAAAAGTGTGCCAAGATTACTCAAATTCTAGTTATTACAGATCAAAGTTTAACTGCTTCGTCATTTTACTTTAAAAGGGATACTGGGGGCGCCTGGGTGGCTCAATCGGTTGAGCGTCCGACTTCGGCTCAGGTCATGATCTCACAGTCTGTGAGTTTGAGCCCCGCATCGGGCTCTGTGCTGATGGTGAGCCTGGAGCCTGCTTCCGATTCTGTGTCTCCCTCTCTCTCTGACCCTTCCCTGCTCATGCTCTGTCTCTCTCTGTCTCAAAAATAAATAAAAACATTAAGAAAAAAAATTTTTAAAGGGATACTGAATGTCAGAAAATCTGTAATATGTTTAATTGAAAGATGTAAATAATGTATACAGACTTGTATGTGACGGGATGGAAAATATTTAAATTCTAGGTTTTTTCTAAAGGAAGAAACTGAATGTTTATTTAAAAAATTAATAAATAGTTATGTTTGGCCATGAATCCTGCATTATTGATTATTTTTGCTGTAGATGCTCCCACATTGAACACATTCCTAGAAAAATATTTTAAGTTTGGAATATGTTGAACATTAAATTTTTTCTAATGTTTACAACAACCTCAGAGGTTGGTATCTCAGTGTCTTGCATGCTAGAAAACTGAAGCTCGGGAATTGTACAAATCACTGATTAGGACCAGGATTAGAATCCAAATAGTCTTGACCCTGAAGCTAATGTTTTTGTTTGTTTTCTTTAAATATTCTACTACTATGAGAACAGTTAGCAAAATAATTATTTGTTGACCTTTCTGTCAAGCTTTTATCAAGTATTTTATCTTCATTATAGACCATTAAAGAATATTAATAAATAGGAGCATCTGGGTAGCTCAGTCAGTTGAGCATCCGACTTTAGCTCAGGTCATGATCTCCCAGTTTGTGAGTTCAAGTCCCACATCTGGCTCACTGCTGTCAGCCTGTCAGCACAGAGCCCACTTCAGATCTTCTGTTCCCCTCCCTCTACCCCTCCCCTGCTTGTGCTATCTCAAAAGTAAATAAATATTTTTTAAAAATATATTAATAAACAGTATTGGAGCATCTTCATTTTACCCTGATACCTAAGTTCTAAAAGAAAGTATGTATTTTAGAGTATTCTCAGAGTATCATATTCTAGAGAGATTTATTAGAAGCTTTTGTGTTTGGAACATCAGGTCACCAAAGTATCCCAGTGTCACTAATTGGTATTTGTAGAAAAAGCTAGGAGTACACTTCTCTAAAGAAGACATCCAGATGGCCAACAGGCACATGAAAAGATGCTCAACGTCGCTCCTCATCAGGGAAATACAAATCAAAACCACACTCAGATATCACCTCACGCCAGATGAGGTGATAAAATGAACAAATCAGGAGACTATAGATGTTGGAGAGGATGTGGAGAAACAGGAACCCTCTTGCACTGTTGGAGGGAATGCAAACTGGTGCAGCCACTCTAGAAAAGTGTGGAGGTTCCTCAAAAAATTAAAAACAGATCTACCCTATCACCCAGAAATAGCACTGCTAGGAATTTACCCAAGGCATACAGGAGTGCTGATGCATAGGGGCACTTGTACCCCAATATAGCAGCACTTTCAACAATAGCCAAATTATGGAGAGAGCCTAAATGTCTATCAACTGATGAATGGATAAAGAAATTGTGGTCTATATACACAATGGAATACTACTTGGCAATGAGAAAGAATGAAATATGGCCTTTTGTAGCAATGTGGATAGAAATGGAGAGTGTTATGCTAAGAGAAATAAGTCATACAGAGAAAGACACCATATGTTTTCACTCTTCTGTGGATCTTGAGAAAAATAACAAGACCATAGGGGAGGGGAAGGGAAAAGAAAAAAAAAAGGGAGGGAGGCAAACCATAAGAGACTCTTAAAAACTGAGAATAAACTGAGGGTTGATGGGGGG